TGGGGGGTGGGGGAGCAGAAGGAGGTGGTGGAAAGGCTGAGAGAGAAAGTGCTAGAGGAGGGACAGAGAGAGAGAGGAGAGGAGAGGAAGCTGGTGCAGGGAATACAGCGTCACCCAGCCATGGGGGGGTAAGCCTATATATAGAGAGGATAGACAGATCGGCAGTAGAAAGCTATGGGAGGGGGCCATGTGACCTCTCTCCATATGGGATACACTGACAGACTCTCCCCCATCCTCACAAGGTCCTATAGCAACTTGTCATGGTGATCCAGACCCCCCCCTCCCCCCAGCCGAAAGTGTCCCAACTCCCCGTATATTCCCCCATTATTTCTGTGCCCTTTAGCCGATCAGTGCATGGGCAGATGCTCCAAGGGACTTTTTTTTTAAAACTGTTCTTTTTTTTCTTCTTTTTAATTTTGTTCATATTGTCAGTGAATAAAGACACCCTTTCAGAATAAATCAGTGTAGGTCCTGTAAGAGTGGGGGGTGGATGGGGGGGTAGGGGTTTTGTGTTTAAAATAGTCTCGGCCTGTGTTTTCATATACTTGGTCACTTAAGCTTGGAAAAAATAAAAGAAGGAGGAAAAAAATTAACCGTCATGTTGACCGAGTGCAGGAGTGAAGGACGCTTAAGTGCATTCTCCTACCATTTTATTGTTCATTACTTCACTCCCTCCCTCCCTCCACTCGCCGAGCAAATCCTTCAGTCCCCAGGACAGAAAGAGGATGTTGGGATGGGGCTCTTGGGGGGGGGCCCTCTCCCTTGAGGGTGTGTGATTGAGTGTGATTGTGTGTGTGATTGTGAGTGTGTGTGTGAGTGCGCGTGTGAGTGTGAGTGTGCGTGTGAGTGCGCGTGTGTGTGCGCGTGTGAGTTTCTTGTGTGAGTTCGTGTGTGAGTGCGTGCGTGTGTGTGTGTGTGTGTGTGTGATTGTGTGTTGGGATTCTCCAGATGGGAACAGATGTGTCCTTGTCTTGGCAGCAGGGCTCCCTGGACCCGCCAAACAGGGGCACTGATGTGGCAAGGAGGCTGAAATAATTGTGAAAAATTGAAAGCTAAATATTGGCTTTATCTCTTCAGTAATAAAGGGCCATGAAATTGATTTAATGCCGCGGCGCCACTCCTGGGTGACTTCTTACCATCCGAATACAAAACAATGAGCCTCCCAGATCTATTAATTAACCCACTTAATCCCGCAAAGTTAATCTCTCTCAAGAACTTTGCCCATCAGTAACTTTGGGAGCTACAGGCTCCGCTGGGGGTGGGGGGGGGTCGGTAACAATAGCGACGAGGTGGGGGGAGAAGTACCAAAGAGCTTAGGAGGGAGCAACAGCGGAAGCTGACTTTTGCCAAGACATAATGGGCATTTCTGCACGGCAACAGCTCCGGGACTACTTTTTTTTTTTCCTGGGAGCATGCAGTCGTCATTACCATAACGTTTAAGTCTTGATTTTTCTATTTTTCTGAAGAGATTACAGGGTGAGGCGGAAATCAGGAAACGCGCAACTTGACTCCTGTCAGCTTCAGGCGCCAGGAGGGGACTCGTGATTGATTGTAATCTGTCCGGCCGGCGCGGTCTGTCTGCATTTGACGTAATGCCCCGCGTGTTGCCCGCAGTGGTCGGACCATTTTTACCTATCTAACCTTCCACCGCCAACTCCTCCCCCCCCCCCCCCCACCCACCCAGTGCGGTCTCAGCAAGACCTGGTCCTCACAATGAAACGTTCGCTTCCCATTCTGGCTGTACCACACGGAGGTGTGAATTACCTCATTCCCATCGGGTTCACAGAACCAATGTGTTTTTTTCCCCTCCCCACTTTCTCAGTGTGATTTCACAGCCGCTTGGGCCTTCCTCTTCAGCTACACTCCCCCCCCCTCCCCCCCCACTTTATGAAACCCCCTGAGAGGGGTTTGGCTGTATGATAGAGTCTCTGTGCACCCCCCCCCAACCCTCTCCCCAGTGATCAGGCCCTCGCCCTCTTAGACAGGGCTACTCTTCACCATACCTTTGCTTTCTGTGCTTGCTGACCTTTTTAGCCTTTCTCTCTCTCATTCTCACTTTCCTCCTTTTTCTGTTTCTCCTGAATTTCCTCTGAGGTAGACAAACACAAAGGTGTAAGTCCAGCAATCATTAAAAAAAAGTAGGCCGGAAGAGTTTCCTGATTGCGGTGTCTTCCCACAAGACCTGCCCTCACATTTGATTGGACATAGGTTGAGTTCCAGGAACTTGCCATGGACTTCAGTCACTGTGCTAACATTAAGTGTGGTTTAGCGAATTGGATCCATAGTTATTAACATAATGTAGGCACAGAAATTAAAATCGGGAGCGGTGGTACACCATGCTGTCTGTAAGAGGGCAACGAGTTAGTCTTCCACACAGACAGTTGTTGGTGCCTGCCACAGCTATCCAGGTCATGTAGAGAACCTTAGAGTGTTTAAGACGAGGCCTGACACAGTGCTGGATACTCTCTGGACGGTAAATGAATGACAAGCCTTGTTGGGCTGAATGGTCTGTTCTTCATCATACATTCTTGCATCAATATTACTGGCTGTGGGTGGAGGTCTGCATCAGTTAGGCGACAATTGGCCCAGAATCTCCGGGGAATAAGTGGGGTCAAGCCAGAGAAGATCATTAGTTTTGTCACTCTAGCAGTCGGTTGAGCACCAGCAGAGGGACAAAGTAAGTATATGCTGACTTTGTCATCTTCCGATGACATCAGCAGCATGTAAATGGTGGTACGTGGTGTGGAAAGAGTCTAGGGCCAGTCGTCACGTGAATTGGAGGAGTGACATGCCTAAGGCTGCTTGCAGGAGGTGAAGAAGTTTGGCTGAGTTTGGAAAAAGTGGGGGAAAAGGAGGAAGAAATGTAAGCAAAGTAAATAAACAGAATCCTAATTACAGTCCCCCCCCCCTCGTCTGATAAGACCCCTCCCCAGCACCTTTATTTCTTTGTGTGGCAGTGGGCTGTCACCCACAGACCACGTCTGCCACAGACATGTGTTTTAATTAGAGGAGCCAGTCAGTAATTATGTTTATATGCCAATAATGACTCACACATTGCCTGCTGATCTTTTTTTTTTTTTTTTTTTTTTTAATCGGTTCAGTCTTGTGCACGATTATGGTTACTTGATTATAATGTATGAATACTACAGAGAAGTGTGTCGATGCTTCTCTCCTCTTGTTCTCTTGTGTAACAGTGGCTTCTTGCAGTTGGTTTCTGTTGACTTCCATCTTCACTTGGATGTGTAGAATGGTTCATTGGGGAGTATCTGCTCTAATAGTATAAAAGCCCGATGATGATTTTCTCAAATCCCTGGCTCTGCTCAGTTTCTCATCGTCCTCTCTCAGTCGGAGATTCTGCCTCTGGCGTCTGTCTGGTGAGGGTGTTACAAAGCCTCAGCCGTTGGCCCCCTCGGTGATTCCTCATTCCACACAAGGCCCAGGGGTAGCAATGGCTGAAATGAAGTTCCATGACTGCTGTGAGGGCGGAGCTGTGTTTCAGCTGTCAGTCATTGACTTGTTTTCACCAGTCAGAAGTGTTGTTCTCTCCGCAGCCAGTGCAGTCATTGGTCCAAATAATCAAGTCACATATCCTGTGTACTGGCTCCTCCTGTTTTTCTGTCAATGACACCTCACTTTCCCATAGGTTTTTTTTTTATGATTTACATTATTGTGCGTCTTCGAAGTTAAGGCTCATATCTGCATCTTCAGTAGACCGAGTCCCACTGGTATCCTGACTGTAGCTGCACACATGTTGGCATCTCAGGAGCTAGTATGCAACAATTACACAGTAGTAACGCTGTAATAGCCTCTATAATCGTAGTTTTTACCTACATACCCCCTCCAACATTTGCCTGGTGCTGCTCTCTTCAGCGAGGAACAACCCATGAGGTCATACAGAAGCAGTCGCCACGGCGACCTTGAGTTTGTATTCCTAATAGAATTGCTCTCTTTTTCAGTTTTACTCCCCTCACTGAATAATTAGGAAGAAATTCCTCTGTATTTCTTTTTTTTAAAAAAACTTTTCACAAGAGTTATGCCCTGGTAATGAGGAACCTGGTTTCTGGAAGTAGGCAAAAAAAAAAAGGATTGTGAAAATGAGGTTTTTTGAGTAACTGAAGTTTGTTTTATGAAGGACACATATTCATGGCTCACAGTGTGGGGCTGGATAGTCCCCATTTCCTGTTTTAGGGAAAAGGTGCCTTTTCTTGTTGCTGCCTTTTTCCCAGGTTGCCCACAACACTCCCCTCCCCCTTGATGGAGTGGATTAAAGAGCACTTTGTAACAAGCAATTAATCCCCCGATTCCTAATCTCATAACAATGCCATAAAGGCAAACCGGAGGGGGGAAGGGGGGGGGGGTAACGAGGCCGCCTGTGGCTGCCAGCTCGCCCAGCCTTGCACTGAATAACCCTACCCCCCCCACAAATCATAGCCTGTCCCCGGGGAACCGACGAGGCTCTGTTAGCGTCGCGGCGGCCGTTCACGCTGCCTGGAGCCCAAATTATCCTGCAGATTGATTGGGTTCCGAGGCATAAACCTCCTCGGCGTGACAACGCCGGGTGACTCGCTCTCTCGGCTTTACGAGCCGCCAGCACACACACACACACACGCACACACACACGCTCGTACGCGTTCACACAGGCGGAGAGATAAGTGACTTAAGTGGACTACAAAACGCATGAGTGTGTTGATATTTCCACATTGTCCCATACGGCTGTGATTTAAGGAGGCCCTACAGCGCTGGCTTAACTCCTTCCCCCGCCTGCTTCTCACACCTCTTAGGCCCAGCTCTGGCGCACACACTTTTACAAGTGCACCACACATACCTGTCTCTAGCCATGCCTCTCTTGGGGATATGGTTGTTCTTGGTTTTAACTTTTACATTACGTTACATCTCGGGCATTCAGCAGGGGCTCATCCAGATGTATAATAAAGAAAAATAAACCTGTAAGTCATTCTGGATGAAAGCAATTTAGGTGAAGTATATTTTCTCCAGTACAATTGCAGATGGGAATCGAACCTGCAATCCCTGAGGTGAAAGCTCAGCTCTCTAACCATTACACTACACTGCCGCCCCTGATTTGAACCTGATTAATCAGTAAATACTGACTCTCAGACCCTAAACTTCTCTGGGGCTTACACTAGTTTGGCTTTACTGCTGAACATCGTCTCCAGTGATCAGCTGTCAGGAGTGCAAGAGATCTTGATGTGTGTGCTTGTAACATTCTGGAGCCCACTGCTTCTGGTGGAGACATTTAGGCTGTGAAAATCAATATTTCCAGATTAATCAGGGGAAATTGAATCCCTGATATTTAAACATGCCTGATGCACACTGACTGACAACTTTACACAGAGCTCGGGGCCGACCCTGCGGTCCTTCCAGTGCCTGACCCCCGCGCTTTTAAGAGGTTTCTTACCCTACGAGGCGGCTCTTATTGATTCGGCGAGAGCTCGGAGGCCCACAGCTAGAATTTAGAGAGCAAACGGGGAACCAGCAGCACTCTGTAAAATACGGGCTGTCTCAGAGTGTAAATTACTGAGGTTTCAGCTTTTCAGGCCTCTGTGAAATAGGTGGATTATTGCTATTTAAAGAAAATTGTAGTTTTAGTTTTTTTTTTTTTGACTCTCTGTGCCAGCTGTTAAACCTAGGTTTTCTGAACCTCCAGCAGTTGTTTGACAAAATGTCTTGCAGTTTGAGTCTTGCTGGCCGGTAACCTAAAAAATACTTTAAAAGAAAAAAAAAAAAAACCATAACCAAACATTGCAGCTACAGTACCTGAAAGAGGCAAGAAGTTCAGTTGGCCTTAATTATGCTGTTGATGTCACAGATTGCGCTGGATGTCTGTCACTCACACTAGCTGTCACTCAAATCTGTCCCCTGCACAGCGTGCATCCGCGCGCGCGCGTGTGTGTGTGTGCATACCCTGATAATGAGGTTAGGGCGCAGCGTGAAGTTGGGGACCCCCTGCCTGGTGCGTGCTGGGTTGCCCAGGGTTGTCATTAGGGCTGGGCGGGGCGAGGTGAGGCAGTGTTGTGGAAATTGGAGTGTCAGGGAATAGCGTAATGAATGTCTGTGACATATTTATCCTTGTGCAAAGATTTTTTTCATGATGTTTTGCTTTCGTCGCAGTACACAACTTATACTGGCGGCTTCCTGTACATTTCTCAAAGTAGAAAAATTTAGATTTTTTTTTCTTTATGCAATTGACCGTATCCTCTTGATACACTCTGTTCTTGTGGATCACATAATCTCATCATAAATGTTTCATGCCCTGGATCCAGGATCCAGGATCCAGGCTTTCCTGTAGCTCTGCTGTTGCTGCCACAAGTAATTGCCACTGGTTCAGTGCTTATCTGTGCTCTCCAGGCTTTTACTATTCTGCTATTAGCCTGATGGAAACAATGCAGTTCAGTTTGATAAAACCTCCCTTCCTTTTTGGGACATACAAAAAAAAAAGTATTAATGAAATTTAAATAATCAAAACGGAAAAATGCCATCCACACACTGAATGGAAATCAGACAAATTGTCTAGCAAAAATAGTTTTATTAATTTTACATTTGCATGTTTCTTTTTTCATCATGCAAATGTAAAATTAATACAACTACTTTTGCTAGAGAATTTGTCTGATTTTCAATTCAGTGTGCGGATAGCATTTTTTCTCTTTTGACAATTTTTTGGCTTCACGCACCTGATTACAATAATTTGAGTGCAACAATACCTTCTATTTTAAATTTTAAATAATAAAATTAACTCAGTGAAGACAGTGGTTCAGACTAGAAATTCCAATATGAATTTTGGAACAGGGATGTGGTTGAAGATGAGGTGTATGTCAAATATGAGCCACCCCCCAAGAAAATGACCAATATCGAAGGTGTTGTGTCCTCGCTGTAGCTGTTTTTGCCATGAGAACTCTGCCATTTACAGCAAGGCAAGATATATGTGGAGATTTGAGCATGTTGACTGAGCATAATGATTGATGAATGAGGTGTCATGGCACCAAAACAAATGGGTGGATTGAGCTGTCAATCAGTAATTCTTCAGCCAATCATAATCTTCTGCTCATTGCTCATTTAGTCATAGCATATGGTTGTCCCACCCATTTTAGGTGTCTTGAAGCCTCATTGTTCCATCACTGTTTCAGAGACTAGCACTGCCGGGGCAGGTTCCATGATTGACGTCCGTCCCCACCCCTCTTTCCCAGGGTTCCCTGCGACGGCGTATGGACCGGTGGCGGCGGCGGCAGTGGCGGCGGCGCGTGGCTCAGGTAGGGGGGCCCGTGGAGGAGCCGGCCACATGGCATACCTGCAGACCGCAGTGGCAGGTAAACGATCTGTCGGTATTCTGTGTGGCTGCAGCTCTCCATCCTTACTTTACTAGCCTTCTTCTGTCTTCTTCTCACAACTAGTTTTGGCACATACCGGGGGCGTGGAACTTCTTTTGTAGAGTTTGGTCCCAAAAAAAAAAAAAAAAACAACCAAACTTTGCTTGACTTATTGTTTTTCATCAGAGTTTGGTTTGGGCGGGGAGGGTGGGGTGGGGGGGGTTTGGCATAAACTGGGCGGGGGAGAGGGGCTGGATGACACAAGATCCTTCTCCCCTTTTCTCGCTGAAATTTCGTTTCATAAGTTTTAATTATTTGCTCACACTGAATTGTTCTTCTGCTTGCAACCTCTGCTACTAACACCACTACTTAAAGCACTGACACACAATGGCCAGATGCACAGATATACACAGACACAGCTGCAGTAAAACCCCCAGTATGTGGAGAAAGCTACAGTAATTCTGCTCATGCTCTCAACTCTTATCTCTGAGCAACTGTTGATTTAGTGCTAGCCCTAAACAACAACATCTGGCTCTCCCGTTTCAACAGCGCATAAATCAATGACCGTGAATAAGTGCCAGCACGACTGAAATTGGCAGGTAGCATTACGCTCTCACAGAAATGATTGCTAATTACTCTGAAACGATGCGGCGGACTGCGTGTCAGAGCAGAGAGCACAAGTTCAGCGGCTTGTTTTTACCCATAGTGCATCACTCGCCCGCTGTGTGGGAGGAAGCCCCACCCCCACCTCCTGCACTGATATACTAAGCAGCCCTTCCTCAGCTTGTCCCCCGCCCCCCCCATGTCATTCATAGCCACTTAAATGGCAGGAGTTATGAGGCCTGGAGGAAAGGAAGGGAACCCTCCCCACGTCAGGCGAGTGGGTTAATTTGGCAAGCGTTCAAGTTGTCTGCAGCTGAAGCAGGAAGCCAATCAAATCCTCTTTCACTTCAATCAGGACCCTTTTGATTCGGGCTGCTCGTTCTCCTACAGAAACAAAACCTCTCTAAATGGGAGCGACAAGCTGCCTCCATGTATTTTGGATAGGGGACGGGGACGGGGGTGGGGACGGGGGATGGTGTGGGGGGGTGGCGTCTCATGATTGACAATCTCGGCCCATTCACAAAAGGTGTGTCCCGCTAGGCCTGAGGTCCAAACCAAAAAATCCACGTGTTCTCCACACAACCAGCCCAGAGCAGGTGGTGAAGGGGCGGGGTGCCAATCTGACCCCAGTAGAAGTTCGGGTTGGCTGGACTGGAAATGATGGGTGTGCTGTTAGCCCCCCACCCCGGTGGACCCTCTTAAGCAATCCGGTCTCATTGCTTCGCACATTTAAGGCAAGAGCACAGCCCTTGGAGATGAGGGAGATGTTAAGACATTCAAATGTGACCTTTCTCTAAAATCCCATCTTTATATACCCCCACTCTGAGGTCTGCCGCGGAGCATGACTAACGCACGCTCGCGGTGCCTCGTTATCGTAACCATTACATACAGATTTACAGATACCCTTGAGGTCGCGTTGAGTTTGAGCGCACGGCGTGACGCTGCGTCATGTCCGCCCCCGACCCCCCCATCCACGAACCCCCCCTCTGCGGTGGGTACTGGTGGTGGAGGTAGCCAAGGGCGTGTGAAAGGCAGCGGCCCCGGTCAGAGTGTCCCTCTGAGGGGCCCTGTTGTGGAGCAGGCCCCATCCTCAGCCTTCCCCGGGCGCCGTGTCACCCGTCGGCGTCCCGTCCTGCCTGGCGACAGCCGAGCAGTGACAAGTGTATATTTTTAATTCTCCCATGCCCCTCCCCTCCCTTCCCCTTTCTCCACCTTCCACACACCACACATCCCATTCAGAACATAGAACTTCTCTTAGGCAACTGAGTGACAGTTAAAATGGAATAAATGCCACCAATTTGAACAGTAAAATATGCTCCATTAGTGAACCTTTTCATTATTGCCCTTGACAACTATTTTGTGTAGAGAGGCACACCATATGACTAGTATTTTTTCACATAAATGCCCTATGACAAATATTTTGTGCTGAAATAAATACCCTATGACAAATATTTTGTGCTCAAATAACTACTCAATGCAAATATTTTGTGCTCAAATAAATATGCTTTGACAAGCATATTTTGCTCAAATAAATCCAAACAATGTATAATACCTTAACAGCACAGGGAGTCAGGCATGTTTAACTGTTAACTGAATGATTTGTTTTGCTTGTCTTTAACACATGACACTCAGTCTGAACGCATTCCACTACCCCATTTATTTACCTCAAACATCATAAATCGCACAAAAATTGTTTTTTATTTGAAACAGTCACCTAACCCTCCTGATCTGAGTCTGCACAGGCACAATTTGTTCGAAAGAGAAGATAGCCTTACAAAGCTCTGTGCCCATTCTTTGGGTCTGGTGTCCAGTTTTTACAAGGGCGAACACACAGTGAAGTGCGCTGTGTGTGGACTGTATATTGTCTCACAGGATCCCATTGACCGCTAGCTGCCCATTTATAGTGGAAATTTGGCAATAATTTAATACAGAATTTTTACCTGCTGTAGCTTAAAATGGCAAATCTACTTTTGAACCAGGCAGGTGTTTCTTCTATGACATTAGATCTGCCTGGTGTTACTTTGGGGAAAAAAGTGAAAATGCAACATGTCGTTTTCCTCCTCCTCCAGTTGTTTCAGGCCTAATTGGGAGCTTTAAAACCTGCCTTCCAAGGCTGTATTTTTCCACTCTGTGAGGGTCGAACTGA